ATTCGTTAGAGGATTTGTTCCATAGACACTGGGGTTAACATCTGTATGGAATCCTCTGTTGGGTCAGTCCTGTGAACTTGCTGCGGTATATCCTAACAAGCACCCATGTGTTGCATTAGGTTGTCACCTAACAACCTTGACAAGTGAGATCAGTCACTGGCTTTCGACAGGGTCAATCAACACTATGATAGCCTTACCGTATTATCTGTTCTCTTACTTCAGAATAATATTGGGGCTATGGACGTTTCTAGAATGGCCACCATATGTGCTCATAGGGTTCACACTATCAAGATTTGAAACACTTGATACCCTCGTCACGGTTCTACTATTCTAAGGACATATATCAAAACATATTGCAATAATAATGATTTACGCGATCTAGAATAAAATGCCTTTTATTAATTAATGAACATTATTACAAAGAGTCAATTCTATAATAATTGATTGGCTCTAGGACATCTACTCTAACACATTCCACGCAACAACTTTAACCATGGCTATGAGGTGGCTTCGGTGGAGTTCTCGCCTTCTTCGCTAATTTCTTCCTTTTATTCTTAGAAAGTCTTCCCTTTTCCTTCTCCAATCATTCCTTTTCATCCACGCGTACTAGGGTCCCAACCGGTTGACAAATTGGAGAGCTAGTTCCCATGTCACCGTCCTCAAACGTATTCAAAGAAACAGCCTTGATAGTTGGAGTTCTCTCATCTCTATCCTCATTTGCATTCGCAACTTCCTCCCCAAAAACCGCTCTACCACACTCTGTTTCACATTCCAACCCTTCCTCAATACCATTCCCACTCTTCCTCTCCTCCCCACCGACAACATCTCTCTTTTCCTCACCCTCTTCAGATAGCACCTCAAATTGGTTCACACTCTTACAAGGTTTAGGGGCCTCACCTTCCTTCTTTCCCTCTACCCTTTGCTGACTTACTTCTCGAGGGACACTCATATTCTTCTTACTAGCAGCTTGTCTCCATTCTTGCACATGAGGAGAAGTCGGCTTTTTGGGTAACAATGGTCCGGTTTCCTTAGGGGCTAAATTGTAGTTTCGTTGGACGTGCCCAAACGTTTTGCACGAAGCACAGGTAAATGGCTTCAAAGCATACTCCACCTTAACTAATGCAATCTCACCTCTCGGCATCTCTAGCTCAAATTCCTCCTTAAACTCTGCCGAAGAACCCATCTCAATGCACACTTTAGCAAATTCAAGCTTTTCGCCCGATTCGGTAATATTGTCCATATAAAGAGAGGTGTCTATTACACTTTCTATATGGCTTAAACCCTTGGGGGTCCACAACTCAAGAGGGATACCATAGAATTTTGCCCATATGGGTACCCTGGTAATCCCATTCATTCCCAACGATAAGTTAGAAGTCCATAACTTCAAAAAGAAAGGTTGCCCTCCTATAAACCATGGACCACCCTCCAGCACATCCATTTTAGTAACCTCATCTGGGAACTTGAGCAAATAGCCCTCATGCCCATATGAAGTAACCTCCCACAGCTCCAAAACGACTCCAATTTCTTTCAACATAGCTCTTTACTTGGTAAAACGGCAATTTCTTCCCAAGGCTTCCTTGCTCATATTTGGTTTGACATATTCAAGGGAAATATCAGACCTCTTTGAGACAAGAACACTTGTCTAAGCTCTTTTTTCCTCTCCTTTCACCTATTTTTCATCACCACAACCATTTGGCTTCTCAATTCTATTCCCTCCATCCACCACTTTACTTGGGAGAAGGGGATAATCCTTAGAAATCTCATCAACATTCGCTACCACATTTTCATAAAATCTCCCCTTTCCATTAGAGCAGCTCTCTAGCTTCGGATTGAACTTACCTTTAGCCAATAGCACATCATTCTGGCCTGATTTTTCTATAGCAATAGGTGCCCCTACAACCTCACGGCCCTTATCCACACCATGGCAGATTGTGTCCTTCCCATTTTCACCTACCCTTGAAGAAACTCGGTTACCCTCCAAAGTACTCTTGGATTCAGCACAAATAGCTCCTCTATCCACCTAAATAATTTCACCTTCTTCAAATTCAAAATTCCCTCCATTAATAAGTTTCACCAACTGGACTTGGACATACTCTCTATTAGAAATGGTAGCCCCTTACGAGATCCAGTAGGCACCAAATGACCATTCTTAACACTTTCAATTTTCTTTTCCATAATGTTTGGATGCTGCTCACTCAAACCAGAGCTTTTCCCATGTTCAACAGCCCCCATGGGAGGCAAGGAAGAGAGGTGGCAAAAAAGTTGAATTTTTTTTTTTTATTTTCACTAACTTGATGACGTGGCACCTACAGTGACATGGCATACGTGGCAGGATGAGGGATGACAATGTAGTGAGGTGGCATGACAAGTGTAAGGATAAGGTGATATGGAAAATTGTTAGACAAGGGATAAAGGCAATCACAATAACCAATAGGAAGAGGTGAAGTGGAAAAGAAAAGAAACTTATGGAACTTGCTATTAATCAGTCCAAAGGCTAGTCACAAGGAAATGGATAAAGAAAATCTACTGAGCCAATAGGAGAAGAGGAGAATCTTAGTGGTGTGCTGTCGTACACAACCAAGATTAAAAACCTTCCTAACCTAACTACTGAACTATAAATAGGGTAAGCAAGGGTCGATCCCACGAAGAGTGTCTAGCCGAATTTTCAATGATGTGAATAAGGCTGGGGGGTTTTGAGTAAAACAGAAAACAATCTCAAGCAAAGCAATCTAAACTAAATTATCGAAACAATCAAAATAACATAACTTGGTCTAAGTCAACATCCACCATCGGAATCTTATAACTGGTCATTGATGAAAAAATAAATCAATTCTTGTTTTGAATATTCACCGTTGGAACTATTTTCCTATCTCTCCTTAATTGTAATTAATTAAGAAACAAGCGATCTTAATTAATCTTACCACTAAACAACCCTAGACAAGCACTCAAGATTTAATCTAGTGACAGCCTTAAGAATTAGAGAAATCGATGAAGCTAAACAACACAAACTCAAGCGGTTGTATTTAATTTAGTTGAATGTTCTTCTTAAGATTACTATTTCCTGACGCAGCAAATTATTAACCCTAATTGCTTCACAAGTTAGAGGGATCAAACAATTACAGATGTGATATCTAACTTAGCAGTAGATTGCAACAAATAATACACTAGTAGGCCTCCTAGTAATTAAATGCATCAATCATGAAGATATGCACAGAATAACATTCAATACTCAAACACGAAAATTGAACACTAAAATAAAATAGCTTATGTCTCACAGTTGGTTGATTCCGAGGTCTCCGTTTCCTTCGACCAAGTTATAAAAATTAGCCTCTCATGGCCATCAACAAAAACTCAAAAAGAAAGAAAAATTCCAGAGAAGAGAAGAGAGAGGCGTGCCCCCCTTAAAAACCCTAATCTGATCTCCCTAACAAAAATCCAGTTCAAGTCTTTGAATCCCACTAAATCTCCTAAAAGAAATATTCTAATATCCTAAAATAACATTAATCCTAATTTGATTCTAATTAATTGAAAATAAGATAAAGTCCTAAAATAAAATAGGAAAGTGGTGATTCTGAGCTGTAACTTGCGTGCCACATGTCCTCAAATCTTCCAATAATAAACTGCCCAATTGATTTGCATGACAAGGCAGAATGCTCCAGGACGTCCAGTGCAGATGCGTCAACTTCAAGCTCGATTACAACCTTGATGCAGTGAGTATCTCTCCAAACTCAAAACATGAAAGTTGTAGATCTATTTCTTAGCGTTCCACATAATTTTGAATCATCTCAATCGGAGCTCGGATGAGAGAGTTATGCCCAGATTACGAAACAACGTCGAAACTGTCCGAATTCACTTAATTAGTTCCGTTTTGCAATTAACGCCTCCATTTGCATCCTAAATCAAAATAGAATAATAATGAGTACATTTAGGCAACAAATACGTATAAAAGACTAAACATTAAGGGGGGTAAATATGATATTTTGCATTCTTATCAAATTCTCCCACACTTAGCTTTTGCACGTCCTCGGGCAAACTAATTCAAACAAACGCTACACTCAAGTCATATCAAGAACACCATCATCTCAAGTCATATCAAGAACATCAGCATGATGCATAAGCAACAATATTTAATCCATGCATATTCATACCTAACTTAGGAAGCAGCAAAATAAAATAAAACAGAGTTAATGACATTCATCTCTCTTCATCATCTTCCATAATTACTCTTAATCAGTCAATGCAAACAAGGAAACTAATCACAACCAATTCATGTACAACTCCCCTCTCAACTTTTCCTCAACTGTTTCTCTTTACTACTACAAACTGGGTAGCAAACTAAGGATACAATTTTTTTTTCTTTTTTCTTTTTTTTCTTTCTGTTTTGAAAAATAATGAGTGCATTTTATGCTCCATCTCATTTCATGGTTGTGTTTATGAGTGAGTGCATTTTACGCTCCATCTCGACTCACCACATACCTTTCTTTTCTTTTTCCTATTTGCTTAAACCCAAATTTAGGACTAGCTTAAGAGAAACAATTTTTTTCTAAGGGTTGCTATACAATCCTCAATCATGCTTCGTCACCAAGTTCACACAACTTCTCAAGACATATTGTTTCAAAACTACAAAGATTCAAATCTGATTAACTGTATTTTATGAAAGATTGCTAACATCCTAAGTCAAGGAATATGCTCAACAACAAAGTCAAGTTACTATTTCATGCATCACTAGACGTTCAAAGACATGACTTAAAGCATATACCTTCCTAGAAACAACAACTATATATATATATATTTTTTTTTAAGAACATAAATTAAAACACAACCTAAATCCCCTCCCCCACACTTAAAACTGACATTGTCCCCAATGTAAGATGAAATGCAAAGAAAAGGAAACAATAACCAAAATTTAAAATGCGAGAAAAGAAAACAAACTCCCCTTGGGTTGCCTCCCAAACAACGCCTTTGTTTATTGTCATTGGCTTGACTCAAAGCTGTCTTCTTTAATCTGAATAAGTCGGATCCTCAAGGTCTAATCCTGCCACATTTTCTTCTTGGAGACCTTCATAGAAAGTCTTAAGTCTATGGCCATTCACCTTGAACACTTTGGAAGTTGCTAAACTTTGAATTTCAACTGCACCATGAGGAAAAACATTAATAACAACAAAAGGTCTAATCCAATGAGAACGCAACTTAGCCGAAAACAACCAAAGCCGTGAATGATTTAGAAGGACTTTTTGACCAACTTTAATCTCCTTCCTAGAGATCATCTTGTCATGAAAAGCCTTCGTCTTTTCCTTGTAAATCCTTGCATTCTCATAGGCATCATTGCGAATTTCCTTTAACTCTTGTAGTTGCAACTTTCTGTTTTCTCCATTTTCATCCATCTTCATGTTAAAACTCTTGATTGCCTAATAAGCTTTGTGTTCTAACTCAATTGGAAGATGGCATGCTTTCCCAAACACCAAACAAAATTGTGACATACCAATGGGCGTCTTATATGCAGTCATATACGCCCACAAGGCATCATCCAAATGCAAACTCCAGTCTTTCCTACTTAGATAGACCGTCTTCTCAATGATGGACTTGATCTCTCGATTTGACACTTCCGCTTGTCCACTAGTTTGCGGATGATAGGCAGTAGACACTTTGTGGGTCACATGATACTTTTTCAGCAAAGCCTCCACAGTTCGATTGCAAAAGTGAGTGCCTCGATCACTTATTAGAGCTCTTGGAATTCCAAACCTGCAGAATATATTAGACTTGATAAAATTTGCAACAACTTTAGAATCATCAGTCCTAATGGCTTTAGCTTTCACCCAATTCGAGACATAATCAACAACAAGCAAAATATAAACATAACCAAAAGATACAGGGAACGGTCCCATGAAATCGATGCCCCAAACATCAAAAATTTCACAAAACAGTATGGGGGTTTGTGGCATCTCATTCTTTTGGGATATATTACCTGTCCTTTGACAATTATCGCATGACTTACAAAAAAAGTATGAATCTTGAAATAAAGACGGCCAAAAGAAACCACATTCGAGCACTTTTCTCGCTATCCTCTTAGCTCCAAAGTGACCTCCACATGCATAAGAATGACAAAAGGTGATAATTGAAATAATTTCAGTTTCATGAACACACCTTCTTATTACTTGATCTGCATAATGCTTCCATAAGTAGGGGTCATCCCACACATAGTATTTGGCATCACTCTTGAACTTATCTCTTTGAGCCCTAGACAAACCAGGAGGTAAGATGTTAGTAACCAAATAATTTACAAGATTCGCATACCAAGGTAATGTAACACTCGTGGAGAACAATTGCTCATCAGGGAACATTTCTTACAAATGAAGTTCATCCTCCACGTGAACTAAACGACTCAAATGATCCGCGACATGATTTTTTGTCCCTCTTTTGTCTTTGATCTCCAAATTGAATTCACTCAAGAGAAGTATCCACCTTATTAATCTCGGTTTTGCCTTTTTCTTCATCATCAAATAACGCAAAGCTGCATGATCAGAAAAAACAATAATTTTAGTACCAAGCAAATAAGATCGAAACTTTTCTAAAGCAAAAACAACAGCTAAAAGTTCTTTCTTCGTGGTGGAATAATTTCTCTGGGCATCATTTAAAATCCTGGAAGCATAATAAATGGCATGAGATGAGATGCTTTTCCAATCCTTTGACCCAGAACAGCGCTTACTGCATAATCACTTGCGTCGCACATTATCTCGAAAGGAATGTTCCAGTCAGGGGGCTGGATAATTAGGGTAGAAGTCAGCAGTTTCTTCAGCTTGTCAAACGCCTCTTTACATGCCTCATCGAGCTCAAAAACCACATCCTTTTGCAGCAACTTACATAGGGGTAATGCTATTTTGGAGAAGTCCTTGATGAATCTTTGGTAAAAACGTACATGTCCAGGAAAAGAACAAACTTCCCGTACACTAGTAGGGTAAGGTAAAGATTGAATAATGTCAACTTTGGCCTTATCTACCTCAATTCCCCTAGATGAAACCACATTACCCAAAACCAGACCTTGATCAACCATAAAATGACATTTTTCAGAATTTAACACAAGGTTAGTTTCTATGCATCTTTGAAGAACCAGTGTAAGGTTATCCAAACAATTATCAAAAGAGTTTCCATAAACTGTGAAATCATCCATAAAAACTTCTATGATATGCTCAACATAATCTGAAAATATGCTGACCATACACCTTTGGAAAGTGGCTGGGGCATTGCAAAGGCCAAAAGGCATGCGGCGATTTGCAAAAGTTCCGAATGGGCATGTGAAAGTCGTCTTCTCTTGATCCTCCAGAGCAATCGCAATCTGAAAATAACCTGAATAACCATCAACGAAACTATAGTAAGAATGACCAGCTAACCTTTCAAGCATTTGATCAATAAAAGGTAAAAGAAAGTGGTCCTTGCGGGTTACAGCATTTAATTTCCTATAATCTATACAAACCCGCCACCCATTCTGAACATGGGTAGGAACTAACTCATCATTCTGGTTTTTCACAACGGTTATTCTGGTCTTTTTAGGAACCACTTGAACAGGGCTAACCCAATTGCTATTTGAAATAGGATAAATCACTCCAACTTCAAGAAGTTTGAGGATCTCCTTTTTCACAACATCCATCATAGGCAGATTCAATCTTCTCTGCGGTTGATGGAAAGGTTTTGCTCCTTCTTCAAGCAGGATACGATGCATGCATGTAGACGGACTAATTCCTTTGATATCTGTAATTTTCCAACCAATAGTCGTCTTATGCTCCTTAAGGACCTGCACAAGTTTCTCTTCTTGCGATGCACTAAGTTTGCTAGAGATGATCACCGGTAAAGTTTCTTTGTCTCCAAGGAACACGTACTTGAGGTAGCTGGGGAGAGGCTTCAATTCTGGAATGTGGACCTGCAAAACAGAGGGTAAAGGCCTCTCATAAGAAATTGGTAATGCCATAAAAGAAACGCTACCTGACTGCTGTAACTTTGGAGAATCGTTCAACGCTGCAACAGTTTCCTGTAAATCAGAACTCAAAGCTAATTCCTCATTCTCTTTCTCAAGATGCTCACTACTGGCAACTTCCAATCCATCTTCTCTGTCAAGTTCAAAAACTTCCTGTGCTAAAGAATCAATCACATCAATAGAATAAACATGATTATCATCATCATCAGGATATTTCATGGCATCATAAATATTAAACTTAACAATTTCACCATCAAATTCCATGGTAAGTATGCCACTATGAACATCTATCTTAGTCTTGGATGTTTTTAAGAATGGTCTTCCTAACAAAATAAGGGCAGTTTGATCACCATTTTCCATATCAAGCACATAGAAATCAGTAGGGAAAACTAAGCCATTAACTTGAACCAAAACATCTCAACTACCCCCTTAGGTAGGCATTAGATCCAGCTAATTGAATCAACACACAGTTTATTCAAAGTCCAAGTTTCAAAGAAGCATATATGAATATGGCATGACATTATAGAAGCTCCAATCTACATGGCCTCTCAAACCTAGTGTTACCTATCGTACAAGGGTAGTAAACTACCTGGATCCTTGCACTTCCTGGAGTTTTCTCTGAATCACTGCAAAACATTCTCCCATTCTCACCTTTTCACACCCCTTAGTTGTTTTCTAAGTGTACACAATTCTTTCAAGAATTTAGCATACGAGTACTTGTTTAATAGCATCAAAAAGTGGAATATTTACCTCGCATCTACGAAAAGTCTCATCATATCTCTGTTTGCATCTCTTCTAGATTCTGCCAAGCTTGAGGAAAAGGTGGTACCGGTTATAATCGACAGAGGGGAAACTTACGCTTAGGAACACCATCGTCTTGGGAACGTTCTGTCTACACTAACATCTTCTCTTTTCTTCCTTCGACGATGCAGGGGCTGCCTTTGTTGGAATCTCAACCTCTTTACCACTTCTGAAGTGATCGCACACATTTTTCTTGGATACCACCGTTTGAGAAGGTAATTTCCCCAACTTTGTGCCTCCAGCTTATATGCGTTGCCATCTGACCATTTGATTCTGTAATGCCCTACTTGAGGTACGTAGTTAATGCTTCTTCTTTTGCTCTTTTTGAGTTGTTCATTATTGTTGGTTGGCCTTTGAGTGATATGTTGAACATTGCCTTGATATTGGTTGAAAATAGAAGAAGTTTAGGTTTCCAGCTTCGCGGGCGAAGAAGAATCTTGCCGGGCGAGAGGTGTGAGCCACGGGGAAGCTACTGGACAGTTTCGCCGCGGGAAGAGATTCCTCGCCGCGGCGACGTGCCAACCAAATGTTTGTTAAGTTTTAGATATTTCCTTCTAAGGGCAATTTGACCATTCTACCCCTAATTAGCAGGAAAAGTGGGGAGTAAAATGTAAGGAATTTTCATGGAGAATATGTTGTTATGGGGGTGGTTTGTAGTGAATCAAAGATATAGATAGAATTCCCAAAAGAGTAGGCAAAATGGGAAGCTGTGTATAAATTTCATTAAAAGGAATTAAACCATTGCAAACCCTTCATTCTCTTCTTCATCGCCACTCTCCTCTCTTGCTTCCTCTCAATTTCTCTTTCTTTTGATCAAGGAGTTTTGAAGGGCTTTTGGAGTGATTTGGGTAGAAAATCAATCTAAGGCACCCTAAGTAAGGATTCTTGCTTTGGTTGTGAAGCTTTGTGAGTTTTTGAATATATTTGATCATTGAGGGTTTTTGTTCATTTGTTAAGAGTAGAGAAAAAGTCAAGCAAACCAAGTGAAGGAAGAGCTAGTGAAATCTTCTCATAACAAGGTAAGTAAATCCCAACCCAAGTTGAGATTTGCGAATTTTCTTGATTGGGTTTTGATAGCAATTATGTATGTAGTTGTATACATGTTATATGCCATGTTATTGAGTCTTAAATGGAGATTTCTAGTGCTTTGTGATTGTTTATACATTAAATATAGAAGTGAGATGTGGGTTGGAAGGTAGTTTGAGATGGAATTGAAGGATATTGAGGAATCCTTTTTGGAAGTGTCTTTCTTTGGCAGGATTTATGGCTATGTGAGGGGGTTTTTCCCCATTTTGGATGGTTAGAGAAAGACTTAGAATTATTGTTATAGTAGAGTTTTATTATGCACTTGAGTTGTTTAATGAAATGCCTAATAGAGGTTTGAGTATGAGTAGTGAACCTTAATTCTTGCAACATTGCATGTTGGCATTTCATAAGTGCATTAGTGGAGATGAACCATCCACAGGCATTAATTGTGCATTGAGAAGTGACCTAAGAAAGAGTAGGAAACTTTGTGTATGCACTTGCTCTTTGAGTAGAGAACTTGTGGATACAACTACTTTAAGGGTAGAGAGAATGAGAAGTGCTAAAGTAGAATGAATGAGAAGAGTAGTAGAAATGGGTTGATGCTTTGTGATCATCACCCAACAGTTATAAGAGTCGGGTGGATGCTTTGTGATCATCACTCGACTAACAATTAGAAATGGGTTGATGCTTTGTGATCATCACCCGATAGGTAGTAGAAACGGGTGGATGCTTTGTGATAGTCACCCGGTCAGTTATTAGAAAGGGGTTGATGCTTGGTGGTCATTACCTGACATTTATTAAAAGTGGGATGATGCTTTGTGATCATCACCCGACAGTGATTAGGAACGGGTTGGTGCTTTGTGGTCTCCACCCGATAGTTATGAAAACCGGGTAGGTGCTTTGTGATCCCCACTTAGTAGTCACTAAGAACGGGTTGGTGCTATGTGACCTTCACCTGATAGTCATGAAGAGTGAGATGGTGCTGTGTGAACACCATCCGGCCGTGCCTCCGGTAAGATGAGGCCATGACGTTTAGTAGGAAAGAACAGAAAAAGTGAGGAAAGAATTAAAAGAAATACTTACGGGGATAAACAGATAGAGGGTTTTACTTACTGAGCATTATTTTGTGCTCACCCCGTTATTTTCCTTTGTGGATGCAGGATCTAGGTGATGTTGCAGTCGGAGGGGCGTTGGCAAGCGAGGAGCGATAGCTACACTGTTTCCCCTGTTTTTGTCTTTTAAAATGGCCTTTTTGTAAATGATGCTTTTTGTGTATAAAAGACGTAGTACTTATAATAAAAAGAAAAGTTTTGGGCCCATTTTCTATTGTTATTATGCATGCATTGTACTAGTTTACAGCAGTTGTTACAGATTCTCTAAACTTTGAACACTAGCTCTCGTCTCCTATTGAAATTGCAAAGTGTTAGTAGCAAGAGACTTAACAATATCTTCTAAAGACATACCAGAATTAGTAGTTTGGTCCGGTTGTTGTCTAGGGGGGTATGGCTACTTGTACTGTTGGTAATTTGGGCAGTTGTGAGGGTAGAGCTGACTCATTTGTTGATTCCCATGGCCAAGATTAGGGTGATCCCTCCATCCAGGGTTATATGTGCTCAAATAAGGATCATACTTCCTTTGCGGTTGTCCAGGGAAACCACCTGCTGCATTCACTTGCTCAACAGGCTCCTCTTGAAGAGTTGGGCACATATCAGTTGGATGCCCTACTACCAAACAAATTCCACAAGCTTTCACTGTCTGCATGTTACCTACAGCCATTTGACGAACAAGAGAAGTTAGACTCGCAATTTGTTGTTCAAGGGAAGAAATATTTACCTCATTATCATGCCTAGATGGAAGGTCAAGCCTAGTGCCAATTTCAGTTTGCTTCAGTTTGGCTGAAATAGCATTAGTATCAGAATTCACCAAAGTGACTCTTAATCTTTCTCAATCCTCAGCTCAGCTTACGAAAGGATGTTAGGAAAAGAGTCAAGAGTAAGAGTCAGAGCTGTCCAGCTTAAGGGGGGATGTTAGTAAAGAATTAGAGTGAGTTGAGTTAGTCAATCTGCCGTTTACTTTTAGTTTGTTTTAACAGTTAGTTACTGTTATCTCAGCATTATAAAAGTACCATTTACTATACCATTTTGTTTTAAGCAAATCAATAAAGAATTCTTGCTTCTTCTCTTACGTTTTCTCTCTATTCCAGAGCTTAACAGCTCACATTTGTGTGTATAATTGATTTAATATCAACAGAATATACAAGTATCGTTGATTGATGTACAAGTATAGAGTATCAAAATTTTGTAATCTAATTGTAGACAATGTTGAGAAGAGAGACTCAAAACGTGCAATATAGACGGACTTGGCATAACAAGTCAGAACGCTCCAGGACATCGGCAATGCAGGTGCGTCAACTTGAAGCTCGATAAACCTTTATAAGCCATTATCTCTAAAAACTCAAAACATGAAAGGTGTAGATCTCTTTCTTATCGTTCCACAGCATTTTGAATCATCTCAATCGGAGCTCGGATAGAGAATTATGCCCAGAATACGAGCAGTGGCGAAACTGTC